ACAAAATATATACACGGCCTTTACTCTTCGACAAATAGTTTCTATTTGAAGCAATATGTATATCCACACAACTGATACATATCTTCTATCCACACTTGGTGTATACATGTACGTGTATCTTCTTCCATCCTTGGCAAAGGTAATACAACCATGCAGAGCATCAAATATTTTGTTAGCTACACAAGGAGTGCGAAATTAACGTCCTTGCAACCTCTAAGGGCACGTGAAGTAAACAAAGAGAATGAAAAGGAGAGACAAAGGAATCCCAACTGTTGATATGGGGATAGAAGACCAATTTTAGTTTCTTCTATGTCGCCTTAGCAGAATACACGACAGAAAACCCCGAATGCTACAGGTGAACCCACTTTAGTCGCTTCTTACGATACACATGCATGGTTTCTTCAATGTCCCCTGAACAAAAGGCAGGGAAAAACAACCTCTGAACTACCTCGAAGGTACGACATTAGTTGGTTTGGACATGGCCCCATATAGGCCTCGAATCCGCGACAAAGTGGTGGCGGGCTTGTGGTAGCAGAATGCCAGACGCCTAAACCACTTGGCCACCGCGACACCAACGATTAGTCGCCTTTTATGGTCATCAAATGGTATACTGTTAGTTCTTTCCTTTCTTGAATCTCCACATGGTTGTACTTGTGGCAGTTGCAAGCGAATACATTTGAAAATATGTGTTCTATTAGAAAAAATATCCTGTGATATCCTCAATGCAAATACAGATAACACTATACAAGATTTATATCACTATGACATATATATGTAGTAACATTGTAATAATGTAGATTACTTACTTACTTCGGCTGAGTACACATCTTATATAGATGTGTTTTATGTGTGAGGGTGTGTGTGACATGTAGGCATGTGGGTATGCAAGTATGTATAAGCTTGAGTAGATGTTTACATATTTAATTTTTATACATTACCCGAAGTAATCATTCTACTCTCTGAATATTGTTTAATACTACCATCAATGCTTTCATGTTAAAATCTATTTCTCTTTATACATATACATTATTATCTATGATATCTATTATTTACTTTATTCAAAGTGACTTGTATATATGGGGTACCTGTTGGAGAGCACTTATATAGGCTTGCCTGTTGTCCAATTCATTTGTTTTTTAAACAATAATTTTGTTCAAATGAAATACAAGATTTTTTGCACATAGAAAAGTTGTGGTCACCAGGACGTATCCGGGAGACGGGAGGCATTTTTAGCGTGCGAAATGTTATTACCGTCGAATGTGATCGTTTGTTAAAGTGACCAATCATATTGGTTGTTTTTTCACAGGTAGAGCGCAATACCAGCGGGACAAACACAATGACAATGACCATTTGTTATTCTCATACACAATAAAGTGTGGAGAAATGTACACATACAAATGTTTGGTTATCAATTATTGACATGGCTTAGCAGGATTGACGTTAATGAATTATCGAGTTAATTTCAAAAATATGTTTCGCTTATGATATCAATTTATTGTTACAAAAATCAAATAAAACATTATGATACGTTTGGTGTAGCGAACTGATATCGGACAAATGCTTTCTTCTACTGGTCAGCAATAATTAGTATATGGTCTTGTTTGTGTGGTTCGTTTTTTAAATGTTTTTTACATCTGCATCACCACCGAGTAATTGGTTATCCAGCAGACGACATATTCACCGCAATATTATACAAATGTATCTGATACGTGTGTTCCGCCACCGTACCAAAATATCCGAAACCTGTTGCAGCTTCTAATTGCATTCATACGTATATCCTATTTTACCATGTGTATTTAATGCTTATATACATATATTTTTTACAGAACGAAAACAGACTGCTTGTCTGTGGAGAGAACATACAGAAGTGTATAGGCCCTATAATATTTACAGTGCACGTAATTACTTTTAGAGGGTATTACATTAATGCTTCGATACGTCAATATGCCAGTATCTGTGCACTGTATCCAAACAGTGGTGTATACATTCTAAATTGTATCGTGTCATCCTGACAGGTCCTGTTTCCTCTCGTGTCGAGCGGCCGTGGCATCTGCCTTTGGCGAGTCAGTTCCAGATTTACCAATATTACTTGCTGGTTCATGCTACATGTAGCTATTTGTAGACGTCCGGAATTCATCGTTGTTTGCATAAAAACCGATCAATCCCCATGCACTTTGCATGGCATTTCTATTTGGAGTTCTGCATTTGATTTGTTAGAGAAATGAATCTTGGAAGTTTAAGTGATAAATGATTAATCGTAAACGGAAGACGAGGTTATTTAATAGTTAACACCTTATTTTAACAGGCGTTTTACTCTGAATTTAAATTGAAGGAACTTCATTAACGTATAGGGACACTTTATTGACATTCAAATGCAGTAAAGCACCCACATAAAATACGCTTAGATCCGTTTGATAGCTCGCTTGAAGGTCATTCCCTCCTGTATAAATCTCTCGGTATATTGCTGGATCCTACTGGTGACGACATCGCGGGGAATTAAAGCACGGTGATCAGTTCTTAATAAGTATCTAATATCGGAATTAAAACTAGAACATACGCATAGTTACATGTAACAAACATGTAATACATAGTATAAAGTTTAAGTATAGGCTTAAGGGATATAGCAAGTTTCTGGCTCCCCGAGATAAGGTATATTTCCCGAGACGAAGTTGTCGGACTATGGATTAATCGAGGGAGACTAGGAATTTGCTATTACCTTAATTATATCAATACAAAACACATAGCAAATATTAAAAAGCAATATTCCATTCGCATTGTCCAAAGGCGTATGGCTATTATCAACTATTTAAATATCGTCTGCGCTTTTGTCTCACGATCAAGAATAAATTTGCTCGGTAACTCAACTATTTCCATCAGGAAGTAGGTCTTCATGGTGTTTAAATTATCGGACTTAGCACTGATTGTCTCCTTGGACAAGAAAATCAGGGCAAAACAGCAGGAATTTAGTTGCTTAACAAGCTTTTCTTATACAGAAGAAAAAAATAGAGGCGCATTAAATATATTTAAGAAAAGAGGCTACATCTAAGCATATTTAACTTCTCATTAAATCCACACAAAATTTGTCGCCGACAATCGACACTTTCATCAACGGATTCCACAAGATAAACACTAATCAAACAATCAGTTTAAGACCAAGTGAAAAAAATCAAAACAACAGTGGCAGCAAACGTTTGTCCTTAAGAACAGAGAGTACCAAATGCTCTAGACGTCGCGACCGATCGGATATGGGTAAGCTAATAGACAGGTTAAACTAGAGCAAATATACCAATCTCTATCTAGAGTTGTCGTTCCTTACATATATACCAATCTCTATCTAGAGTTGTCGTTCCTTACATATATACCAATCTCTATCTAGAGTTGTAGTTCCTTACACTCACGATCAGTATTGGTGAGTGTAAGGAACGACAACTCTTGATAGAGATTGCAAATAGGCCTATAGCATTGTCTCATACCATGGACAGGTGTTACAACATTATTCCCTGTGTGATATAGCCTTGTCTCATCGTCAACAATGCAATAACGTTACCCCAACAATATTTTCATCTCATAGCGTCAACAATGTATTGACGTCACGCCTTTGAACTGCTTTCAGTTATACACAAAATATGGATACCAACTGGTCAAGGGCAAATTCAACGAAGCTATTGCCTTTATCCCCATCATTTTTGCCGATGTATACCAATTAAAAACAATTCCATAATTATATTAAATTTTACCATTTTCAGATTATATTAATCTCAACAAAATTTCAATTTCAATTATATATTTAATATTAAGTTAAATCATGTATTTATCGTATATGCTTGTTCATTGAATAGGACCACAATCTGTCCAGGAAGGACCAATGATATTCAACATCAAAATTATGACGTCTATAATTGGGTCATGACTTTCATAGCCTGTATGAATGCCATCTGAATATGATAGGGCTATATAGTGGCAATTCCATACGATGGTTAATATATAAGAGAGAATATACGTCGCCATAATCACTAAAATAAAGACTTGTCAACTCATAAATATCTTAAAAAATATTCCTAAATAACGGTATTTAGTAGCACTTCTCTGCGTTACGGAAATACATACTCGAGTAATTGTGTAGATCATACGCCCAATCAACAATATGTCTATTTACAAAAAGACTGGTACATGTACATGTTTATAACACAACTTGACCTATGACCTTCAGACTGCACGGTCTACATACACCTGATTGAGTTATATAGTGTTGTATGTCACCACATGTTTTCTACTTACACTATGCAGTACACCGCATCATTACACGGGTCGTACTATTACATGCCCCTCCGGTATACCAGATAACGTTGAAGTGCATTACAGTATATGCTCGTTTATTCATATGACTCCGCACATGCCGAACAATGCCAGGATTGTCAAGTGCACGCGTGCACAGTGTTACAAAGATCCACAAAGTTTTGACCGGATGATCGGGTCATTACACAAATATACTATTGTTAAAATAAAAACACGATCACCTAATTTGTGTAATAATTTTTCTTAACATGTACATCGTGTTTTCTTGATGCCTAATGAGTTTTTGATTACATTGTGTATTTTTCAGGCTACATCTGCATGTTTGTGTTTTCTTATTGAAAATCAAGGAGAGGTAAACATGAACGTTCCACGTATATTCCTTTATCCTATTGTTGATACGTACATGTATGTGAAAATATTTTTTCTTGTATAAGATCATGCTGTTTAAAGTATTAAGAATTATCAAATATATAGGAAATTAATTTTTAAGCAACAAAAATAAAGTAACTTTTTAACAAACAGTTCATTTATATCGTCATGTGGCGTGGTGTTTTAACTAAGTTGTCCAGTATTCTTACAATTACTGTTACGTACATTTCAATCACCTTTATAAAGAAAAATCAATTACCATAATGATCGTACTTTACCCATGATTCATCTCTGTCGCTTAAAAGTACAAGTTGTTATATAACAATATTTCTTACCTCTGTATAGGCACCTTCTTTTCGTGAACGTAAGTGGCCCCCGCCTTTCCACTCTACTCAGAATGCTGTCTAAATCTATATGGTCGAAACGACTGCTACCATCCTCCTCCAAATCGGACATTTTACAAATGTCCTTCAGACTATAAAACAACACAGGCCGTGGGGACGGGATTACAGAGCCCGAAACTATCGTCTGCTATTAGCCGCCCTTTTTGCTACTCCATGTCTAATAGCCTCTCACGCGCGTGTCCTTGCCAGCTGATTCGTTTCGTATTTTTCTGTGTGCGTACGATACCGCTTGGCGTGAAGGTCAAACGGAATTGAGTACACAGCGTTGTGTAAATAGACGAGCATCGACAGTAATGAGTGATGCTTAACCCTTACGATTCCTGATAAACACTACCCATTGATATTGCTTCTCAAACAGACATCACTTCTTTATACAGAGTCGTCATAAATCCACTTGCTTGCGTCACAACAGAACTTTGAGAAAGAATAACGAGCAAACGAAATGGATTTGTCAGATAAATATACCTAAATGTAAACACAATATTGCTCCCACTTGTGTGTACATCCTTGGTAGAACTATAAACACCAATGGCCTGACTGTCTTCGGCACTAACAGAAATTGTCTGCTTACATTTTTTTGAAGTATGAGATCAAATCCGTGTTAGTTTTCTGTAATTAAACGTACGCACAGTTCAACCTTACAAGCGAAATGATATTACACAGAGTTCGTAATGATCTAAAGACATACAGGCTGATACACGGCACCACTGTGAGAAACCCGAACTAAGCGGCTAGTTGTACAGTGCTCGTTCGTCAGTTAACAACAAGTTTTGGAATAACAGGCTGGAACGAAATAGGGTTGTTGTTGGAGCATAGACGCACTTTGCCAACACCTTAACACGCGTCCATATCTGTACACATATATAACATCCTCGGCCTACACGAAATAAAGATTCCTCACCTCGGCGAGTCTGCCTCGCAGCTATACGATAGTACCATGGTACCATACAAATAGACGAAACAATTATTCTCCCGTCCCGATGGAGAATCCCGAGTGCCAAAACGATATCGTATATCAAAACCAAAACATATAACGATATTTTCCGTAGGAGATTTGAACTATCGACCAGAGCTTCCGACTCGTTCCGAGTGTATATAAATAGACAAGTATACCGTACCTGTCCAAATCGAACCCTTGATAAAGCAGAGTTAATCTTAGACCAGAAATTCAGATCTGCCTTGTGTCAATTAACAGTAATGTGTGGTTTCTTTTCTTGACAAAATATTGCATAATTCGAAAATCTTTAACACGAAAACACAAAAACTTGTATTTTTAGGTGTTAATTAAAACAATTTCATGTTGCATGTATAGCATGTTTGTGTTGTTTAAAGGAAAAACAATGATAATTTATACTGATTTTTTGTTAAGATTAAAGCATAATCAATACAACAAATATGACTGACGTCGCAGAAAACACTAGCTGCGATAAGGTAGATTTCTGACGATTTATATTTAAGTTTAAGTCAGAGTTACGAAGCGGTCCCATGCCTGCTAATGGAGCAAAATTAAAGGCTTCACTTTATAAGATTTTACGTAATTAATACTTCATATGTGTTGAACGTTATCAAATTAATTTTTGATTGTTGAAATAACGAACCTTTACCGTAATAAAATGAGTCTTTCACGAAATTAGCGAAATCCGTTTCGAAAAACAAGAAACGACACCCATGACAGATCACGCGAGACTATCGCTAAACGTGATCTCAATTCCCGTTTCTATATATGGCAGAACTTTTGCTCTGCGTAAAGGGGGAAGAAAAGGCTACAACATGACCAGCATACAGGCAAATGAAACAAATAGATAAAACAATCAAGGATGTCATAAAGGGAGAATATAATGTAACTATCACGCCGGATATGAAGAAAGGCACGTTTTTTGTGCCGCACATGTTCATGGTCATTGATTTCTAAGGCCAAATCCAGGACTACAAGACAAGAGGCAATACAACAGCTAAACGGAGTGGAGAATGTCAATTATTAAATTTAATTTACTGATGTTGAATGATGTAGAGTAATTGCTATGTGGTCGAATATTGATGATCATGTTGATTTTAAAACCTCAACAGAGCAGATCCTGAACTAAATAAATAAACAAATATATCACTTGTCATTTCAAATCAATGAATTATTTTCAAAAGATGAATGTCTTGCAGATGTGGTTAGCAGGTGGTAAAAGACAGGTATGTGCACGTGTTAAATGGAAAAAAAGTAGATTTCTACGTTAACTTTCCCATATTGGAAAAGAAAGAATATCTACCCAATTTTGATAAAACATTTGCTATATTTTCCAATATGAAAAAAAAAAAGTGAAAAGAAAAATTTGTATCAATATTTTCCGAAATAATACTTTATAATACAAATGTAGGTTTTTAAATAAGTATAAAGTCTACAAGTATGATTTTACTCTTTGTGTGTTTCTAGGTGTTTGCTCGTTTCAACCAATTTGCGTTTTGTGTGGGGATAGGAGCAACAAGAACAGCCATTGACAGACTTCGGAAAAATATTGATGATCAAGTCATTAAATGGAAAACAATAGTATGTGACTATCTGCTGCTACCTTCCGACACTTCAGCTACAGAAACTGTTTCGTTTGCTGATAGTGGCAGTGAAACAGTGTCATCCATTGACCATGATTCAACACCAACCCTATCACCCCAGGCAATGTCACCTATAAATCCTCAAGTACATGAAGGGCATCAAGTAGCATTTGATCGTGAAAGCATGTCTAGTAAATCGAAACACCAAGGTAAAATATAATCATGATATTTATTATTCATGAATACAGATTATCAAGCCAACATTATGCAGTTAATCTGTATGAGTACATGCATAATGTACAATTGAACACAATTTAGCTGAATCTACAATTGCACTTTTGCTTTTCAAGTGTTGAAATATGACTATCCATATCACCAATTACTATATTACCTGTACATGTATTAGTTGTACAGCAAAATGACAAAAAAAAACATTCAGTAATTCTGAATAAAAACAGATTAAACTAAGATTAGCTCAAAAGGTCCTGTTTTACTCATTACAATGCAAATTTTCTTTTCAAGAAAATAGCAGTGAAGTTCCACTGAAATATTGTGTAATTCAATTTTTCAATGTGTAACCTAAACTATACAGTGGTGTTTAATTTCAATATGTTCTGTTTTTACTTTTTGAAGAGAAATTCGGGTTTTCCTTGTGCTTCGACAATGTATACCAGAACGTTACAGTGAGACACCAGACTCGAGGCAAGAGAAATAAAATGTTTACTATGGTGCACTTGACAAACTCACAACGTTACATATGTCAGATGATACTCCTTCACCACAGGCCATGCTTGATATTCCCCCTGAGAAGTACATTCCGTCAGAAGCGAATGAGACAGACTTGAGTTCCGAGATGTCAACGATAGTAACGAGAATGTTGTGTGAAAATACTCCTGTGTTCCAAGACAAGAAGCATGAAGTAAACTGGCGCATTTATCACCCATACTCCTTAGAGTCGTCTTCAAAGAGTGTTGTGTGAAAATACTCCTGTGTTCCACGACAAGAAACATGAAGTAAACTGGCGCAACTATCACCCATACTCCTTAGAGTCGTCTTCAAAGAGTGTTGTGGTAGGTACAACAATATTTCATATTACTGGCAACTTCAAATTATCAACAGTAACTCATTTCTTTCACCTACAATTGTGCATACTTCAATATTGCAAGAAGACATGTATACCCGTACTTTATAAATTCAGTAAAGTATTTACTTTCCTCTAACAGGAATATATGTAAATATTGAAGCCTTGGACTGTTTATAAAGTATTATAATTTATGAAGTATGTTTTTTGGCTGTAAGAACAAGAACAAAGTAGATAACTAACACACAGAGAATTGTTATTCTGTGATAACTTGTATATTTTCTAGGTTTCAATAGGTATAATGGACAAAGATGAGAGCAATGTGTCATGGGATCTGTTTAATACCCGGCCGGGACAGCGGAGGCCGGGTATTAATATTAGTACTAAGAAAACACGAGCTTTCATCAGAATGAAACATTTGCGCGTAGCGTACAAGGTAATGTGTCCGCACAATGGCATTTGTGACGTCACACACACTGTACACGTGCCCATGTTTTGACATGAATGCTTGTGTTGCATTATTTCTTTACCACACACACAACTGTTTTTCATAAGCCTGATGTTTTTCATGCACAATCTTAAAAACACAAGTCACAACGTAACTTTGTGATACCTGGCCTGAAAATTGACTATAGTAACATTCACCAGGTAATACAACTAGCTGTTTCACTAAGGTACACCAGGTATGTAGTTGAAACTTATGTATTCGTATTGTAAGATGCATCAGGTGCACTCATGTACTTTAGTAAGATTCTATCACTGTAATAAGATTTGCCAATTATGTAATAAAGCTGACAGTGTTATAAAAGTGAGATTCACAAAGAATGTAATAAAACTGACATTACAACTGTAGTAAGATTCATAAGAAATATAATCTGTATTATAGGAGTTCAATTGGTGGGTAGTACATGTTTAAGAGGAGTATCGTTATCTATAGATAAGCACGTGGTTTAAACTGTCGTAAACCAATGTCTTGGGTATTGTCTTCAAAGTGTTCGATAGATTTTAACACATTCACGAAAATGTCAGAGACTGTATCACAAGGTCAGACGAAAAATAAGTTAACGTTATACACTGTCACAGACTGTAACCACAAGGTCAGACGACACATAAGTTAACGTTATACACTGTCAGAGACTGTAACCACATGGTTAGACGACAAATAAGTTAACGTTATACACTGTCAGAGATTGTATCCACAAGGTTAGCCGACACATAAGTTAACGTTATACACTGTCAGAGATTGTAACCACAAGGTCAGACGACACATAAGTTAACGTTATACACTGTCAGAGACTGTAACCACAAGGTCAGACGACACATAAGTTAACGTTATACACTGTCAGAGACTGTAACCACAAGGTCAGACGACACATAAGTTAACGTTATACACTGTCAGAGACTGTAACCACAAGGTCAGACGACACATAAGTTAACGTTATACACTGTCAGAGACTGTAACCACAAGGTCAGACGACACATAAGTTAACGTTATACACTGTCAGAGACTGTAACCACAAGGTCAGACGACACATAAGTTAACGTTATACACTGTCAGAGACTGTAACCACAAGGTCAGACGACACATAAGTTAACGTTATACACTGTCAGAGACTGTAACCACAAGGTCAGACGACACATAAGTTAACGTTATACACTGTCAGAGACTGTAACCACAAGGTCAGACGACACATAAGTTAACGTTATACACTGTCAGAGACTGTAACCACAAGGTCAGACGACACATAAGTTAACGTTATACACTGTCAGAGACTGTAACCACAAGGTCAGACGACACATAAGTTAACGTTATACACTGTCAGAGACTGTAACCACAAGGTCAGACGACACATAAGTTAACGTTATACACTGTCAGAGACTGTAACCACAAGGTCAGACGACACATAAGTTAACGTTATACACTGTCAGAGACTGTAACCACAAGGTCAGACGACACATAAGTTAACGTTATACACTGTCAGAGACTGTAACCACAAGGTCAGACGACACATAAGTTAACGTTATACACTGTCAGAGACTGTAACCACAAGGTCAGACGACACATAAGTTAACGTTATACACTGTCAGAGACTGTAACCACAAGGTCAGACGACACATAAGTTAACGTTATACACTGTCAGAGACTGTAACCACAAGGTCAGACGACACATAAGTTAACGTTATACACTGTCAGAGACTGTAACCACAAGGTCAGACGACACATAAGTTAACGTTATACACTGTCAGAGACTGTAACCACAAGGTCAGACGACACATAAGTTAACGTTATACACTGTCAGAGACTGTAACCACAAGGTCAGACGACACATAAGTTAACGTTATACACTGTCAGAGACTGTAACCACAAGGTCAGACGAC